GTGCGGGTGTTTACTGCCTCATGGACAGCAGAGACTCTGACGCAGATGATACTGCAGGAACCGGCCACTGCCCATTGAGGCTATACACCTTAGCAGGAAAAGAAATCGAAACTATAGTACCTATTAGTATTTACCATCATTGGGAAATGCTAGAAGACTATTTGGTAGAACTGCTAGCCAGAAGCTTTGACCTTGACACCTTTGGTTGTGAGTTGATGCTCATAGCAGAAGATACCCGGAGCCCCCTCAGTGACCCTATCCATGAGGAGCTCTGGGAGAACAGGGGGTTTCAATTGGTCATCCATAAAAGCTTCAGGCAAGTGCGCTCTAAAGAGCAGATTCGCCGAGACGATTATGAAGACCACCCCAAGGCTATCTGGGTCCCTGCCAATGAATCAGGCATTCTCCCTGCTAAAGCTTTCTTTGCCCTTGCCAGACTCCGGCACGTGCAAGTCGAAGTGGGCTATCACACCATAGAGCGACAGGTGTGGCGCTACTGCCACACCCTCACCATTGTCAAACTACCTAGCTCTGTGGTAACCATAGCGAATGCTGTATTCCAAGGGTGCTACGCGCTAACCACAGTGATGATGCCAGGAGCCAGACTCTTTGCAGAATGTTGTGCCCTCGAACAGGTAGGGGTACTCACAGGAAACTCCTGCCGACTAGTCAGGGGTGCTACCATTTCCCGCTATGCGTTTGAAGGCTGTGAAAAACTTAAGCAAATAGGTCTCCCATGGACCAAAGCCATCACTGATGTGCGGGCTGCAACGTCCCCCCCAGAAGGTTTGCCAACGGGGTGCTTCTATTCGGCCGGCATCCAAATGATAAACATCTCGCACTCAACCGAGTTCATCGGGCACAAGGCCTTTGCACAATGTCAGCAACTGACTGCGATTGACCTGTCACATACACAAGTGGGCATCATAAATGTGCAAGTATTCTCTAATTGCCGATCTTTGACACAGGTAACCTTACCAAAGCACCTCACCGAGATTCGTGCTGAGGCGTTTGAAGCCTGTATTTTGCTGTGTACAGTAGCGCTTCCACGGCAGCTTCACAGCATTGGACACAGAGCTTTTGCAGGGTGTAGCAAACTAGTATGCCTCACCTATCGCGGCGCCGAGGCCGACAGACGCCGTCTACAAGTAGCAGCCAATGCCTTCGAAGGGTGTCAGGCACTAACCGTCCCCGGAGGAATCTGCTATTTATCGGTATGGGGTAGTCAACGCACCCAAAAACACGCACATTGGGAGTGTCAAGAAGAAGACACAGCACGGCAATGCTAGGAGAAAACATCCAGATGGCTGCCCGTGCAGTTGTCTTTCCCCAATCTGGTAAATAGTGACAGCTACTAGTAGCAATAGTCAAGGAATTGTGAAACAAGAACGACTGCGGCCTGCCGCAAAACCTTTAGGCTCGAAGACGGGGACACAGTGCTGGTCAGTGGATGTTCGGCCATGCTCACTGAATGCATTTCAGTGTCTAGCTCGCAATGGAGTGAGGAAAGGTCAATGGTCATACATCTGATCTTGACCACGCTGGCGGGAGAGGAAGCCCAACTGACTATCGAACTTCAAGAATTCGACCGCCTCCAGGAATTCGAAAGCGCAGTTTTGGAGCAACTTCCCGAAATAGGTGAAAGTAGCACCTTCGGGTGCGAGTTGGACTTTATCTGCTGCAACTCGCAGCAGAAGCTGGTCGATCCGATCTGGCACACCTTGCGAGACTGTAATTGCTTTACTGTCGTCGTGAGCCCTTGTTTAGTCGAAGCTGAACATAAGGGACAAATGCAAGGCGAAGCCAAAGCCCTGCGAGTTCCGTTCTACTATATCGATAGAGTTTTCCCGCAGGCCTTTAACGCATGTGGAGAAGGTCCGGCATATGCAGGTGGATGCAGGCTATCGTATCATAGGGGAGTGTTCGTGGCACCATTGTCAACACCTCCAAATCGTGCATCTAGCCAGCACAGTCACCAGCCTGCAAACGCGAGCCTTCTGCCGCTGCTTTGCACTGCGCAGGGTCCTTGCCCCAGGTTGTAAGGATTTTGGGACACAGGTCTTTGCAGAATGCTGTTCCCTGTTGCAAGTCGGAATCAGGAACGACACCACCAATCAGCTTGCTCCACAGGCAGAGCTAAGGCCCCGTGCCTTTCACAAATGTACAGCATTGCGACAACTTGATCTAGAGCTGTCGGAGTACAACTCTAACAGCGTGATGCGGGTCTTGCCGGAGTGCTGCTTCCTGGAAGCTGGCCTAACCTCATTAACCTTGCCTTCAGATTTTACATGGATAGGACCGGCCGCATGTGAACGCTGCCTGCAGCTGCAACTGGTGGATCTCTCGCGAACAGAGATCACAGAAATTATGAACTGTGCCTTTGCACATTGTCAGCACTTGCAAATCCTGAAGCTTCCAAACAAACTGCGAAAGATCCAGCAGGAAGCCTTCCTCAAGTGTGTCTCCTTAACGGAAGTCAGCGTGCCACCCACCCTGCTCTATATTGCGAGGCGGGCCTTTGCAGGATGCGCGCAGCTCAATCGATTCCAAAGAACTGGCAAACGAATGACTTGGCGAGGCACATACTCTCGTGCCAATGCCTTTCTGCGGTGCGATAATCTTGATATGCCAAAGTGGGTTCGATGGATACCACGCAATCCAAAAGACGAGGATCAATGGGCCGATGACTCTTTCGGAGTCCTCAACTAGGGGTACACGGAGCTACATGTGGTAACGCTACTACTGCCATGCCTTTCTGCTGGCACCCGTGTGCTGGCCCTGCCTACGTCAGAGGCCATCCTCGCTGAGTATCCAAACGAACAAGTTGCCCACCAAAGAAACATCCAGGAGTACCTTCGAGAAAGTGCTGATAACTAGGACCTGGAGCGTAATAGGACCAATTGCCACACACGGCCACAAATATACGTCAACACTTGCAAGCTGTCAGCCTCTGATAGCGCTTTAAACTTGTGACGCAATCTTGTGAAAATTTTCTTTGGTGCCAAAATGAAAATTTTCTCTCCCCGCTTTCGCTATCTTGAAGAGTTGAACCTTTATGCATTGTTCGAAACAATAGACTGCGCACTTTACTTCTGATGTCAGTTTGTCTTCAGATGTCACAGTGCTTCGAATTGTTCTTTGAAAGCATCTACAGTTTCCTGAATCTGCAGCTGGGTGGGCTGAAGGTGGGTTGTGTTAGCTTTTCGTAGCTGGCCTTGACCGGGGGTAGACGCGATTAGATTCGGTAGCGGCAGCTCCGCGCGGATCGGGCGCGTGGGTTGCATGTTTGGTGACCTTTGTGATGAGATTTGGAAACGTGAAGATGTGGCGCCCTCGGATCTTGCCCAGGTTCCGTTAGACGTGCGTGAGTCTTGTTACGATTTTGATCGCCAGCTACATTCTTTTGAAGATGCTGAAGTGCATTCGATTTCGTCCGGTGAACCCTTTTGTGAAGCACAGGAACCTGTACCTTCATTCGATCAGGCTGATTTGGTTCGGGTGAAAGGCAGTGAATACACACCGTCCGAACCGTGTAACCCTGACAGTTCGGTGCCTGAGCCTCAGCCTGTCATCTCTTTGGAACAGAACACAAACTTCTTTGCTCATTCGTTTTTGACGAACAGTTCAGTTGTCAAGGCGACTTTGCCTTGGGAAACAGGAGTTTTTGCAGAGATTTTCGATTGCATGCCAGCGGACAATGTTGTGCCTCGCATGGACGTTGCCGGGTCCGGGCCTTTAGTTGAGTCATCAACCGAAGAGTTGGCAAGTATTGCGTGTGAAGCTGTTGCATTTGAGACCTCAACTGCTGTTTACGTTCATGCCATTCGTAATCTTGATGATAAAACTTATTTCGACAAGCGCGATTCGGATATTGATGCTGCAGTAAAAAAGCTTGTTATCGTGGTGAGCCATTGCCTCTTGGCCAGCTCGGTTGGGAGACAGATCATTGATCTTGGAAGTGATGAACAGCAGCGTGAGGGGGCTTACGACATTGTGCACGCATGCATTGGCCTGAGATCCCCTGCGACACTTGTCAAACGTGCAAACTCTTTGTTGTCCTTTTTGCGTTGGTCTGCAAGGAGTCACGTTGGTCTTACGAACCCATTCATTGAGCAGGTAGTGTGGGAGTATTTTCAATATCTTAAGCTTTCAGATGCTGCTGCTACAAGAGGGAGCTCAACCTTGTCTGCTTTCAGGTTCGCTCAGTATATCTTAGGATTTGATTGCCTTCGTGAGGTGACCGTGAGCAGGAGGCTGATCGGGCTGGGCGAACAGATGTTTTCGAAGAAACGTTTCTTGAAGCAAGCATTGCCGTTGACGGTTCAGCAAGTGTTGAAATTGCATTCCATTGCGAAAGATTTAAACAGGCACCCAGTTGACAGGGCAGCAGCTGCATATTTCTTGATCGCCACTTACGGAAGATGTCGTCACAGTGACCTAGCTGCCGTCGTGTGTGTAGTCCCTGACTTTGATGACAGAGGTGGGTTCATTGAGGTGCGTACGGCACTTCACAAGACCGGAAGGTCAGCCGCATCGAGAACCCAGCTGCTACCAATCCTCATCCCTGCCATTGGTGTTGATGGCGAAGTTTGGCCGGGGGCTGCGTGCGAAGCGTTTGAGGGTGCCGGTCTCCCCCTTTTTGGTGAAGTTGATTCGCCTTTGTTTCGGGCCCCCAAGGGTGAAGGGGGCTTGTTTTGTAGGCGCGGCGTTACATCCGCTGAAGCTTCAGATCTCCTTCGTGCCCTCATCGGTGTGTCCATTGAAGGTGTCGAGGCGGGCGCCCCTATTGTGTCCAGTCATTCGACCAAGGCCACTTGCCTGTCCTGGGCTGCAAAGTATGGACTGACTCCTCGTGACAGATCCATTCTAGGAAGGCACGCAAGTAGTACCGTTGAGACTTATGCTATCTACTCTCGTGACCTCACTGTGGCTCCATGTCGTGAACTGCAGAAGGTGTGCGTTGAGATTTCACTTGGTAGGTTTTTGCCCGATGCTCCAAGGAGTGAATTCTTCCCCGCACTTCCACCAGAGCCGCCGTTGGCAACGACTACTGCCGTGAGAGCGGCCACACAGGACAATGCAGTGATCGCTAAGGAGGAGGTAGTATTAGGTATGCCAGGCGCAGACGTTTTGGATGAGCCCATTGAGCTCGTGTCTAGCTCGTCTTCATCGAGTGACTCTGAGGCTGGTCTGTCGTCTGACACTTCAGCAGCTGGAGAGCCGCCTCCTCGGGTGAAACGGTTCAGACCCAGGTTGGAAGCCTCTGAGAGGTGGTATGTCCATCGTAAGTCACACATCCTGCACAAATTTGATGAGAAGAACTCCATGTTCTTTGATCGTGACTACTTGGCTTGTGGAAAGCGCCTGACGGAAGCGTATTCACTGATCTCAGAGTCGAGTGCATGGAATGTCCAGTGCAAATTGTGTGCGAAGAAGCGGTGATGCGCTTATGAGTGTGGCGGTGATGCCCTCTAGGCGCGACCTTTTCCAGACTTTGATACAAGTGCTCTGCGCACAAAAGGGTCGTGCAAACGAAGGCCGGTGAAGGCACATGAGCGGTGAAGCTCAACTTGGGGGCCTGCGCTTGTCCGGATGCATCCATGGAGAGTGCATCGGCATCGGCCGAGAGGCCAAGAATTTGAACCCCACCTTGACTTGTGGCCAGTCCTGTGAAAAAAAAAGGAGCGACGCGAACGATGAGCAATGAAGACCAGGAGTAGGGCGCCCGAAAGTGGTTTTTTTCGTTGTTTCTGAACTGTGTTTCGGGCGCCCTTCAAACTTCTTTGTGTTCAGCCGGTGAAGGCTGCCAATTTTCCACTCCGATATGAGGTGTCCGCAAATGCCGGTTTTTGGATCGAAAAAGGGTTGTTTCCGGACACCTTCGAAAGGTGCTTCCTTTGACGGATCGGAGGCCCAGTTCGACCAAGACCAAACGGAAAATTGCCAGTGAAGGCTGGTTATAGGGTTGCTTACTTGCCTGAGCCCTCTGTTCATTTCGTGTTCTTTGAGTATGGGTCGGTCGAGTTCAGCTGTGACGTAACGACCAACCGTGGTTTTGGCTGGACTTCTTTCGGCCCGCAGGCATGGGGATTGCATGTTGAATCAGGACTGGAAATTTACCTCAGCTTAACTGGTGTGGACATGATTGCATGGATGTGTTTTCATTGCGGTTGCTGTTTTGTCATTTCTTTGGACTCTTACTCTCTTGGTTTTGTTTGGTGTTCTCAACCACCGTCCGCGTGCGCGGATCTGACGACCAATGGCCCTGCTTGTTGACAGCGAGGCGCAATTCCTACTGAGGCTCGAGCAGTGCAAGGTCCCAGCTTCATTGGCCGCTGCCTTGAGGTTGGCTGGGATCACAACCATCTCTTCGTTAGCTTACAGCTACGGGCAACCAGGCCAACAAATCGACAGCAACGACTTCAGGACATGGGTGACTAGTCTCGACCCTGCAGTCTCTTTGGGTGGCGCTGCAGCATTGAAACGTCTGCTCTTTGAGAGCCAAACTCAGTGCAACTCCTCGCCATATTAAAAGAGCAGGTCACGTCTCCTGATGCTGCAAGCCTGAGGCGTGTCCCTCAGGCTGAGAGGAAGGCTCGACTTAATAAGTTGAAGACCAGATTGAATGGCATCCTCATCGAAGGTAACACTGAGCCGGGGCATTCATTTCTGGATGCTGTTTGCAACATGCATGAAACCAATCAATTGAAGTATTTTCCACCAGAGAAATGTGTCAGCCGCTTGCATGAGTTGACAAACCAGAAGACGCCGGGGAAGACCATCGAGGTCGAGTCGAGCAAACTAGTGTTGAAGGACAAGGCAGAGGAGTATGAGGTCTCGGCGACAACATCCTTGCAGATTCTGGAGGCTTTTAAGCGCCGCGGCCTCGCTCTGGACTTTGCGGGTTGCGTGACATTTCAAAACCATGACAAATACATACAGACTCTTTATTCCCATTTGCACCGTGAGCCTCCTGCAGGATTCTCCAGACGCACAGTCAGCCAGCTCGTGGCTGCAGACAAGGCTGCGTGGAGCAGGGTGATCGAGGACAATGTCAAACCGCGTCGAGACGCTGTCGGGGCCCTGCCTTTGGACACCGCTTTGATTGAAGCTTTGAAGTCATATGAGTGTTCATTCCTTCTGATCCCTTTGCCAACGAAGCAGCCAAAGCCGCCAAAGACCCAAAAGCAGACTGGTGGTTATGGTGCTGCTCACACTGATGATCCGGAAAGACAGGCAAAGGAAAAGGTGCTTATCGTTTCCAGCCTTGGTCCAAAGGCAAAGGGAGAGGAAAATCGAAGTGGGAGCCCCGCATCCCCAAAGAGATCCGGGACGCCGGTGGCCACGGAGCTTTGCCAAGCGGCGAGTCCATTTGTTTCAATTTCAATATCAGCTCATGCAAGGCAGGAGGTGTTGCATCGAAATGTGATCGTGGCAAGCGTGTGTGTGCAAAGTGCTTTGGCCAGCATGAAGGACCATGACACACACAGTTGACTATGTTTTGACAGTTCATGTGTCGATTTTTCCGAACTCGATTTAGCTTCGCTCGGAGGTATCGAGGCCGACACCGGTTTTCCTTTGTCTCAGCAATCTGAACACCAGTTGCATGGGGACACTACTCAACAGCCGCCCCCTGAGGGGCCCCTTTGACCAACAAGAGGTTGCGAACGTCACCTAGTGATTTCGATCAGCCTCGCGCTGAACCTGATTTTTCGCATGTGCATGACGCCCGTCCTGTTTTGCCTGTTTGTCCAAACTCAAAGCCACTTGCCATAGAAATCTTTGCAGGGTCGGCGCGAGTTACCGCCTTCCTCAGGCACCTTGGTATGAGCGATTCATTTGGAGTCGATCACATTCTTGGGAAGAACGCAGGCAAAGTGGTTCTTGCTGACCTGCGGTCAGAGTCGGGGCAGGAACTGTGTTTCTCTTGGGTGAAGTCACCTAGTTGCATCGGCGTGTTTGCTGCCCCGCCGTGTGGCACTTGCAGTAGGGCACGTGAACTTCCCTTGCGATTGCCGTCAGGTGAGGTGGTTCGGGGACCCCCACCCTTGAGATCACCCCATCACCCCGATGGGTTGCCCGGGCTCTCAGGAACAAATCTCGCCAAGGTAACGTCGGCGAACTGTTTGTATGCCTTCCTAACTAGCATTGCGCTTTGGTGTTGCAAAAATAAGAAGATTGTGTGCATTGAAAACCCTAAGAACTCGTTGTACTGGCGTACTTCTTTCTTTGCGCCGTTGACGCAATTGCTTGCATTTACAGTGCACCAGGCGTGCGCTTATGGAAGCGAAAGACCGAAACAGACAGCGCTAGCGCACAATCATGCCGCCTTTGCTAAGATCAACAAATTGTGCCCTGGCGAATCCCCTTCGCACAAGCACAAGCCGTGGGGGCTAGTTGATGGTGCAGCAGTCTTTGCAACAAAAGAAGAAACGGCTTATCCCTTGCCATTAGCGTATGAGATCGCCTTCGCTATTGCTTCATGCGCCGTTGCACAGGGATGGCAGCCGCCTCAGCGTGAGCTTCGACAACCGCAGTCCCTGTCGTACCATCATCTTCGTGCCATCGTGGGTACACAGCCGAAGGCTTCCAAAATCGCGCCAGTGGTCGCAGAGTTTGCGCGACTTGTCATGGTACCACTTGCTCCCACTGAGGCGCCTCCAGTGCCTATGCACAATGTCCTTCAGGAAGAGTGGAGAGGCGTCCCAGCCGGTTCCAAACTCATTCGTTCCAGCCTCCACCGGTTAAATGGGGTATTTGGTCCACAGCCTTTGGATTGTGAAACGCCGCAAAACTACTGTACCTTTGG